CTTGAGGTTTTTTTCCCTAACGTTTCCCCAGCACCTGTGACTGGCATCTTCAGAGTGCAGGAGCACAGACAGGAGCAGTTCACAGACATAACCAGTTTGGTTATGGTTATCTCAAAATTATTTATTTTGGCTTTGTTTGCTTTCAGAATTGGCAAAGGCTTCCAGGGAGTCATGAAAAGATGGGGATTTTCTGGCCAGCCTGCTTCCCATGGCCAAACTAAAACACACAGACGACCTGGATCAATTTCTAGTTCTGTAAGTTTTCTTATTATATGTATTATTTTGATCAGTACAGAGAAGATACATATTGAAGGCATACTCTGAACGTGGACATCTTGGTCAAATCAAAACTTTTGTAAGTTATACACTGGGACTCTACAAGTTGATAGTGATACAGATTCTCAGTCAATTTAATCACATTAGTACAGAGAAGATACATATTGAAGGCATACTCTGAACGTGGACATCTTGGTCAAATCAAAACTTTTGTAAGTTATACACTGGGACTCTACAAGTTGATAGTGATACAGATTCTCAGTCAATTTAATCACATTAGTACAGAGAAGATACATATTGAAGGCATACTCTGAACGTGGACATCTTGGTCAAATCAAAACTTTTGTAAGTTATACACTGGGACTCTACAAGTTGATAGTGATACAGATTCTCAGTCAATTTAATCACATTTCTTGAAAATTGCATAGAATTGCTATAGGGAACCTCTCTATATGTGTAATTATCTGGGAGTAACCCCCTTTGAACAAACAGGGACATACCTCTCAATAAATGCATATGCTTTTATAAGTAGTCCTCGACTTACAACCACAATTGGGACCAGAATTTCTGTTGCTAAGTGATGTGGTCATAAAGTGAGATGTCACGTGACCGCATCGCTTAGTGACAGCAATCCCAACACTCCTCATTGCCATTGTTAAGTGAATTCCACTGGTTGTTAGCCAAGGACGCACCCTAATCCAAGCCATTCTGGGCTTGGTCCCTCCTAGCCTTGAGCCTCAGTAAGGTATGGGGCTCTCTCCAACTCTCCCCACCCCTCTATCTCCCCTCCAACTCTGCCCTTTTGGCTGCCTTGCAGGCAGCCCCAGAACTGTGCAGCTCTGGGGCTGCTTGCCATGCTATGGTTCAGGGGCTTCTTGGCCTTCCTTCCCCTTTCACTTGCTCGCATGCACCAGTGCCCTCCTTTGCTCACCTGCATGCATGCACCACATCCTCCTTCACTCACATGTACCATGCCCTCCTTCCCCCTTCACTTTGTGGTGCATTTGCAAGCAAGCAAAAGGGGAAGGAGGGAGTGTTGCGTGTGTGCAAGTGAGTGAAGGGGGAAGGAGGGAGCTGGTGTGTGCGAGCAAGGGAAGGAAGGCACAGTGCATGGGTGCAAGTGAGTGAAGGGGGAAGAAGGGCATTGGTGTGTACGTGCGAGTGAAGGGGGGAAGAAGAATGTGATGCATGCAAGCGAGAAAAGGCCGGGGTGGGTGGGGGAGACTTACCTGAACAACTTGTGACCTCCCCTGCCAGCTTCCCCATTGACTTTGCTTGTGGGATGCCAGCAGGGAAGGTTGCAAATGGCAATCACGTGATCGCGGGGTGCTTGGCAACTGGTCGTAAGTGTGAACGGATTGCCAAGCACCCAGATCTTGATCATGAGACCACAGGGGCTCTCCAGTTGCTGTAACTTTGGGGACCAGACATAAGTCCATTTTTTCAGCACTGTTGTAACGAGTGGTTGTAACTGAAGGGCTACCTGTACTAAGTCTGCTGCACTGCCAAGTGTCAGTTTGGATTGCAGCAAGATATAAACATAATAAGCAAACCCACACAGTAGTATACATGTTGAGTGATTGTGAAATAATTGTTTTATTTATTTATTTATTAAATTTATGTAGCCACCCATCTATCTCACTTGCATGTAACTATGGGCGGCATACACAATTAAAACAAAACTAAACAATCAATATAATTTATCCATTAAAACAGTTAAAAACAATTAAAAACTATATGAACAAAAGATAGGGAAGAATGCAATCAAACTCATACCAGCCATTTAATGGACTACACTTCCATGGGATCCCCAGACCCGATGACAAAATAAAATTTTGAGAGCCTTCCAGAAGGCCAACAAGGTTGGGGCCAACCTCACCTCAGGGGGGATGATGTTCCAAAGGCTGAGTGCCACTGCAGAAAAGGCTCTCCTCCTGGACCCCGCCAAACAAAGCTCCTTGGCTGACAAGACCCGCAAGGTTTGATATCTAATCCTAGCCTTTTGCCCTTGTGAGTGTCCATAGAGGGATATTTCCATGATATATGTCTAACTTTACTTTGATATTTTTGAGACAGGGTGTTGCAAAGGTCTTCAAGGGAACGAAAATGCCAGGAAAATTAGGGAACTTCTTCCGGACAGTTAAGGGTCTAAAGGTAAGTTTGCCTGGGAATATCTCATCTGATTTGATGAATTAACTTCTGGATGCAGAAGATCTTCCATGTAATAGTAAAGTTTGCATAGTCCTCTCAAGAAATACAAAAGAATCAGTTGATGGGGACCCTGTCACCAGGGATGAGAAATGAAGCCTTGCCTTCTCAGAAGGACAAAAGCATTACAGTACTTCAGAGTTAGAGAAGGTCCTTCTCAAACCTCTCTTTGCCAGTGTGGCTAACTGATGGAGCCCAGAAATAAAGACACAAGAACTTCTGACATGGCCATCTTGTCTAAGCATAGATTATGCTATAAAAGAGTGTCCACCACCAGCCTTTTAAACAAATTAAATGGTATACAGCTCTCTGTATAAGTTTAATAATCCCTGATCAGATCTAGTCATGAGATCTATCTGCAAATTTGAATGCAGAAAGATTTTTAATTGCTACAGGATGCATGTAGAAGCTGTTATTTCTGCCAAGTGTTGCAAAGTTCTTACTGAAAGGGGATACAAACTTCTGAGCCCTGCCATATTTACAGATTCAAAACAAGAAAACAATAAACAACAACTACACAACTGTTTTTATTGCTATGCAAAGAGGCTATGTAGCTGTCTTTTTCTTCTGTTCTTATTCAAAGAGAGTTCCTCATAAAAGATGTTGTGTATTTTACTTAAAAAATAAAGTATAAGTCAGTAGCAACATATGTTAATTCCTACTGGGTAATTTCAATCTTCCAGATATGGCAAGTCAATGTGAAGCACAATATCTTGTATGTACATGGAAGTGTTCCTGGTCATCAGAATTGCTTAGTAAAGGTAAGTTTGGTACTTAGGCTTGAACAATGAATGGCTTACAAAGTACTGAATTTGTCTCTTCAGTATTATATACGATCCTTTGTCACAGGGACTTCTGTTTGTTTTATACTGTTACGTTAGAAAAAGCTTCTGAAATATTACTAAAAAACTGTGGAAACCCTCTCACCAGTCAGGTAAGAGCTTTGCAGAGACCGTCATTTGCTCCAAGTGTTATAAATACATGCACATGCACAAACCATTAATAACATATCTTTACTTAAAAGCTGCAGTGGTTGAATTCGCATACAAAGCACAGTTTGCACTGTGCAAGGCACATTAATGAGGTATCGTTTTCCTTTTAGCATGTTAAGAGTCTTGCTTTCTGACTCTTCTTTAGAGAACAATAAGTCAGAGTTCCTAGTTTGCATATGATATATAAACTACAATTGAAGCCCTTGGGTTTTTGTTAGCTACCCCACTGGCAGGGAGAGCCACAGTGAAACATTGAATTGCGTGTACCAGTCCACTGCTTATTCATAGGCAAGCCAGAATCCTTTCCAGTTCTAGTCTCCCTTTATTTGCAAAACTTGGCCAATTAAGACATTATGGTGTTTAATCAGTATTAAAGCATGAACCCCCCCCCCCAAATTAGAAGTTCCTTAGTAGCTCTCCACAAGTAAATGTCACAGCCTTATATAGGGAAAGTTATCACTTTCTACCAGATACTTATTACACCATATATACATGACCTAGCTCCTGGATTATTTATTTAATGGATTTATAGGGCTGCCCAACTCAGACAATGACTGTGTGACATACAACAAAAACAAGCAAAAGATATCCATGCAACATTAAAAAAACAATCCAGTACACCCAATCCTCTTTTAGTGACCACCTCGGTTAGCGACCATTTGCAAATAAGACAGTAATAAAAAAATCATTTTCCAACCAATGCATGCATTTATGACCAAATTTCATACACCTGACAACAACATGCCAGAGTGAGAGTAACACTGGTGTAGCTGTATGAGAGAACTTTTATCTGAATGAGATGGCAGCAACCAATGATCTTTGCAGCATCTCGCTCTCTTTCAGTCACGTGTTCACTTAGTGACCATTTCGCTTAACAACCTGGTCATTGGAATGGAACTTGATTGCTAAACAAGGAGCGAGTGTATATAAAATATAAAGGCCATTGTCCACGTGATATTGTTCCCTTAATTTTCACAAAGCACTGTAATTTTGTAGGAAATTCCTCTCACACTGCAAAGTTCTGGGATTGTTTGGAATGAGTGGACAGAGGCTCCTACCTCTTCGGATATGTAAAATGGCAAACTGATCAGAGCAGGGTGCCAAAAATCAGTATGTTAAATGATATCACAGAGACACCTTTGATTCAGCTGAAAAAGGAAAAAAAAATAATACTCCAGTCTGGACAATAACTTGCTTACTAGTTTAACATACTGGTTAATCTTTTTAGCATAATTCTTTATGGACAAACATGGTTGCCCTTATGGGGATTAATAGTTTCTCCAGAAATTCTATTTAACGCCAATAGTTTGATGGTATTTCAAGCTGAGGGTGAAAGAGTTTGGGCAACCAATAATAGTGCTGGCTTTAGAGATAAAGACCACAATCCATAAGATTTCTTCACTTGCAGTCATGAATCTTCATAAATTGAGCACAATTTCTTATTAGAAACTGCTGTCTTTTTAAAGGTCCTGGCAACTTAGTGTAGAATCTGCAGGAAAAGCCAATAGATTTATTTACACACCGCTCTAGGTTGTAGCAAATATTCATTTAAACAGGTTCATATTTTATGGAATAAATACAGGAACAGGATGTTGTGGTTGTTCAATTAGACATTAGTCTGTTGAGACTTCTGTTGCCTGTAGATTTTGCTCCAGTTGACAAAATTCATATTTTTTTCTATGTAAATACTCCCTTAAAATTCAACTTGTTTAGTCTAATAATGCACATTTCCTTTTTGATATATGCATAAAATCATTTTTATTTATTACCTTCCACATTCAATAAAAATATTCTCCTAAATCAGAGTTTAAGATTCAGTGCAGACTATAGTTGGGCAGGTGCTGAACATAAAATGAAAATAACACACAGCCTTGCCTCCAGGCTTACGGCCTGAAAAAGAAGACGCAGAAAAGGATGGAGAGAGAACACAAAGGTGGGTCACCTGCTTGGCAATGCCTGAAAACAGACATGAATTCTTGATGGCCTCATCCTGTTTGCTGTTCTGTTTTTAGGAAATGGCTGTTTGGCACATAATGGTCTTGAGCATAATTACTGTGGCCTCTGCGATTACAATAGACACTGTTCTTGCTGGGAGAGATAGGAATAGAAATTAATCTGTTTCTCTCTTTTTATTGGCTGATGATTGGGCCAGGCTCATCTTCAGTGCATAGTCTTCTTCTGGCTAACTGAAAGACTAGAATGACCTTCCCCTTTCTGTTGTAGCAATTATAACTCTTTTAATGCAATATTATTATTTAACGTAGGGACTTTGACTGGGCTTGGTTATTAAGTTCTCTATGCAATATCAAAGGCTCTGTGGTGTACTTATCAAACAATAGCCAGGATCTAAATTCTATCATGTTAACAACTGTAATGTGATGCTTATACCCTAGTATGGCCAATGCTTCTAATCCAGGAGTTGGCAGTCTCTCTCTGTTCTGGAGCTGTATTTCTTTTAAACTGCCTTTGAGGGGCTTGGTGGTGGTAAGATGGCAACATCACCATAAGGGGGAGTTGGAAATTCCAGATCTTCTCTGGCTCTGGGGCAGGTATGCCAAATAGGTATCTTAAGCACCTAGCAGAAGCTTTACATATTTATTTTTTCTTATTTCCACTTTTTGTCCCCTCTACCCAAAGAAGGGTGAAAATACACTGTACAAAATAGAGTGCCATCAAATCTAGGCATTCTGCTGGTGAGTTTCAGTAAAATTATCTCAAAGGCGCTTGGGGTGGGGGACGATGGGTTGTCCACCTTTGCTCTACTCCAAATATTTTGAAGACTGTGCTCAACTCCAAAATGATTTGGAAGAAGTGCTTTGGATCTCGCCTGAGCACCGAATCTCTCTCCTACTGATTGAAGCATGCATATCTTTTTTCTGTTTCCATGTGAACCAAAAGCAGCCCCTCTTTTCTTTAATGCAACTCTTAGAGAAGCTGCATCCTGTGCTAGGCTTGTGCAGAAGTATGCACAGCCCTAGAAAGCGTCATTAAAACTTTCTGATGCTTTAAAAATGAGCAGATATTCAATCACATGCATATTTGTGGACTACAGTCTTGTTCAGCGGTCCCACTTATACTCAGTATTATTATAAGATTATTGTAGCTGACTAGTATTATCTGCTGTCTCGTGAAGGTGATTGCTGAAATGGTGACATTTGGTAGCCTTTCTGAAAAGATGATGCAGAGGAGCCAGGAGAGGCTCTCGGAGGAAGTTTTTGTGTAATTGTGCTGCCATAGAGGAAGAAGTCGGAACCTGATTGTGTGGTCATGTGGACAGAGACTCTGGTCTCCTGTACCTGTAAGAATATGGCTTACTTCTTTTTTACTTAGAATGAAGTGTGAATTTTTCTATTGTGGCCTAGTGGGCAAGGTGGCTAAGGTGGCTAAGGTTTGTTCAACATTTTTTTTTTAAACTTAATTCCACTTCATATGTAAACTAAGGCCACTAGAGTTTTTGATAACAAAACCCCATAAAGCAATTATTTATACTTCCAATTCCATGTTACTCTTAGCCAATAGTTCATTTTTATGCATGAATTGCCAGTCTGCAGGAATGGTTAAGTTCTTGATGTAGATCCAGGGAGACTCAGATTCAAGTTCAGTCTCAGCCACAGAAACTCTGAGTGATTTTTGTCCAATCACTCTCTCTTGGCCCAACCTACCTCCCAGGGTGATAGTTGGAAAAAAATGGAGGAGAGAGTGCTGTGTGGCCTACCTTGAGGCAGTATATAATCCTGAACAAGTAAATAAATAAGAAATTAATCCAATAAGTCTGGATCTTAAGCTAATATTTTTAATAAAGGCTCCTTTCCTTTCCTTTCCTTTCCTTTCCTTTCCTTTCCTTTCCTTTCCTTTCCTTT